ATCTCCATTCTTCTGAACTGCAGCTCCTTTATGCTTTAATGACTAAAGTATTTAATACTGACTGAGGCTTCTTTTGTCTGTATGCTTTTCCCAAACTCTCACTGAGTAAGAGACTTTTATTCAAAAAATTGTACTTAGAAAACTGAGTGTGTGAAATTTCATTCTCAAATGAATGAAGACTTTTTTTTTCATTCCCTGAAAACCGTATTTTAAAAAATAGATTTTAAAAAATAGACTTCTCTTCCTTCCTTTGGTACTGATATCCTTAAGAACTGGAGACCTTTGATATCAGAGACAATATAGACAGTTTCCAACGTTATAACATTATAAAAAGTGATGGAATAACTATCAACCAATAAGGTGCTAAAAATAAAAAGCCTATTACAGAGAGCTCCAGTGTTATACAGTCCTAAAAATTTTCACTGGTATCTCAAAGGCAGGGTCTCTCTAGTGGTCTAAATTCACAGTGGCTCTGCTCGAAAAGATGGGCAATGTCTTCCTGTGAAATTTACAGTCACTGAAAACTCACTGGAGGGTCAGCTATGAGTTGGTTCCAACTCAGTGACAATAAGATTAATTATTTTATAAGGCCATTAAGGAGCACCATTAAGAAGAAAGATATGGCATTAGAATTGAGGGAAAACTCATTAACAACTTATGTTATATAGATGACATATTTTTTGTGTGTAAAAAGTGAAGATGACATGGAGCACTTACTGCAGAAGACCAAAGACTTTTTGCATGGATCACATAGCCTTTAATATGGCTTACATATCAACATCAAGGAAACAAAAACCCTCACCACAAGTGATCATGATAGATGGACAAATACTGAAGTTGTCAACCATTTTATTTCACTAGGATCCATGGAAGGCAGCAGAAAAGAAATAAAAATTCATGCTGCATTGGAAAAAACTGTTGTCAAGGACCCTTTTAAAGTGCTAAAGTGTACTCACTTAGGCAGCACATATACTAAAACAGGAACAATACAGAGAATATTTGTATGGCCCTTGCCTAAGGATTTTTTTTTTTAAGTGCTAAAGAACAAGGATGTCAGTTTAAAGACTAAAGTGCACCTAAAACAAGTCAGGTTATTTTCAGTTGCTCCATATATATGTGAAAGTTAGTCAATGAGTGAAAAAGAATGAAGATGTATTAATGTCTTTGATTTGTGGTGCTGGTGAAGAATATGGAATAGCCTATGGATTCACAACAGCATGCTCCTTAGAAAGGAGAATAAATCTTTAGCTCAGGTATTTTGGGTATGTTATCAAGAGGAGCCAGTTCCTGGAAAAAGTACTGGAAAAGATATAAGGTCAGCAGAAAGAGAGGACAATCCTCAAGGAGACTGATATAGTCACACGACTGATACAATGAACTGGAGCATATGAAAGATCATGAGGATGAAGCAGAGTAGGGCAAGATTTTGCTCTGTTGCTCATAAGGTCACTATGAGACGTAGTTTATTCCATGGCCCCTAACAACAACAACAACAACAACATGATATATAAGCCTCACTGGTTTTGCTTCTCTAAAGAATTCAGGTTAAGGTAAACTCAGTTTGCCCTATACTACCTTTTTCTCTCATTTCTCTTAGGCAATCTCATCTACTCATGACTTCACCGATACTTTATATACTCTTTCCAGCCAATATCCAATCTCTTCTGAGGACCAGACAATTATTTCCAATTGCCTCTGGGGATCTGCATGTGTATGTCCCTCTACAACTCAAAATGAACTAATTTTTATTACTGCTAAATCTGCTCCTCTTGCTGCTGCTGCTGTTGTTAGGTGATGTCAAGTCACCTCCAACTTAGTGAGCCTAAGTATAGCAGACAGAAATGCTGTTTCATCCTGCACTATTCTCTCAATCTCCATGTGCTTAAACTCATTGTTAGTCATTGTGTCAATCCATATTATTGAAGGTTTTCTTCTGCTTTGATGACTCTTCCATTTTCCAATGACTGGCCCTCCTGGCGAAGGGTCACTTAATCAACTACTACTTACAGTGATGTGGTGAAGAACAGTGACCCCTATGAACTTGCCCTATTCTACGCTGTCCTCATCATCTTTTATATGGTTGAGGCCATTGTTACAGTCACTGTGTCAACCCATTTGGTTCAGGGTATTCCTCAGTTTTGCTGATCCTCAATCTTTCTACGCATGATGTCTTTTTACAAGGATGAGTCCCTCCTAAGAACATGCCCGAAGTATGTAGGATGAAGTTTTACCATCCTTGCCTCTAAGGATGCACTTTTTCTAAAACATATCTATTTTTTCTTATGCCAGTCTACAGAATGTTCAGTAATCTGTATTCTGCTTTTAGGTGCAGTCGAGGCAAATAGGACTCAGACCAACCTATGAACAACATATCTGAACCCTGTTCCATCCTCACAATCTCTGACACACCTAAGCCTTTTGCTGCAGTCACTGTATCAACCCACCTGTTTGAGGGTCTTTCTCTCTTTCACCATTCCCTTCACTTTTCCAAGCATGATGTCTTTCTCTAAGGAACAGCCTCTCAAAGCAACATGCCCAAAGTATGTGAGATGAAGTTTCACCACCTTTGCTTCCAAGGAATATTTTGGCTGCATCTTCTCCAAGACATATCTGTTTATTCTTTTGGCAGTTCACGGGATATTCATATACTTCTCCAATACCACAGCTGAAAGGCATCAATTCTTTTTTCATCCTTATTTACTGACTAGCTCACAGATGCATAGCAAGTAATTGAAAAGACCATGGTCAGAGTCAGGCGGCACCTCAGTCCTCAAACTGATATCACTGCTCCTCAATAATTAGCAGAAGTCCCTGACCTTCCCAGTGCAATATGTCTCCCGATCTCCTGACTGCTAGTACCAAGTGTACTGATGTGGATCCAAGTAAGATGAAGTCATTGATAGTTTCATCTTTTTTCTGTCTACCACGATACTGCCCTACTTGTCCACTGGTGAGACTTTTTTATCAATCCATATTGAAGGAAGCAGCAAGTGCTTCAAGTTCTCATTTTAAGGAAGCAAGGTTGTGTCATCTGCATAAGAAAGGATATTGATAAGCCTTTCTCTAATTGTGATGTCATATTCTTCTTCATACAGTCCAGCTTCTCGGATAATTTGCTCAGCATACACACTGAATAGATATGGAGAAGGGCTAAAACCCTGACACATTTCTTAATTTTAAATCATGATGTGTTCACTTGCTTTGTTTGAACCCCAGCTTCTTGGTCTATCTATGTCTTGTATGAGCACAATTAAGTGTCCTGGTTTCCCATTCTTCTCAATGTTAGCTAATGCTTTGCACAGTCAATAAAACACAAATAGACATTCTATTTGGTATTCTATCTGGTCTACTCTGCTTTCAGCCTGGATCCATCTGATAGCCTATGAATAATTTTTCCTATCATACAAATCCTTTCATTTCTGAAGGTTTAGTTCATGTTTCAAACAATGATACTAAGGCAAAAAAAAGAGTGGAGAATCTAGCAAGAATATTTACATTCTAAAATATAAAAAGGTAGTGTTTTATATGACTGAAAATTTTTTCTTCAAGACAATTCTTTCTATACTTAATGTCAAGACATACGTAATTCTCCCTATATACACTGTGCTTAAATAATTATACATTGCTTTTCCTCCCTTTCATTAAACAATGTAGTGTGAGTGAAAGTATGTGTGTGTGTCTTCCATGCCATTAAAAAATTATCATCTTTTCTCCAGAGTCTCAAATTCTGGTAAGAAAAAAGTATCTTTGACATCATCCATTACTCTAGATCTTCATTAACTTCTTACCCTATGTGAACTTCTATTATCTGGTCTGAAATGTGAAACACTAGTCAAATGGTTCTATATGATTTAAGTAGGAGAAGGATATGGCAGTCTGCTCCCACAAAGATTTCTTTATTGCCTTGGAGCCAGTTCTATTCTGTTCTCCAGGAACACTACGACACAGAATTGCCTCAACAGCACCAAGTTTTGGTTTTCATATGACTAAAATTTACAAGATTAAAGACTACACCTCTTTGAATTAAACTCTTCTAATTTCACATCTTTCTAGAATACACTAAGACTTGTATGTAAGAAAGTAAACCTCAATTCCACTGTCCTGACCTAATGAGCAGATTCCCCTGAAAAGAATCTGATTTCTGGTAATTCAACATTTTTGGGAATTGATGCCTTCAAACTGGAGTGTTGGAGAACACTGAATATCCAAAGGGCTGTCAAAAGAATAAACAAATCAATCTTGGAAGAAAAGCATCCCAGATGTTCCTTAGAGGCCAGGATGCTGAAGCGTCATCTAACATACTTGAACCACGCTGGCTAGAAGGGAAAGATATCATGCTGGGGAAAGCAGACAGTCAGAGAAAGACGAAACCTTCAGTGAGACGACCGACACAGTGACTGTAGCAATAGGCTCGGTGGGGCCTGGTGGAGATTCTGAGATGGCCCAGGATAGGGCAAGGTTTCCACCTGTTCATTCATAAGGTCACCAAGAGAGTCAAAGTTAACTCAATGGCACACAACAACAATTCTCATCCAAAGGTATCCACGTGGGGCAAAAATGTTTCTACAAAAACAAAGGCTATGCACTTGACTGGTTAAGTGAAAAAGTTAGTAATCTGAACCCACTCAGTAGGTCTGTGGGAGTAATTCACGGTGGTCTGCTTTCTTAAAGATTAAAGCCAAGAAAACCCTACTGGGCAATTTTATCCTGTTACGTGGGGTCCTATGCCTATTAGTCAGAAATGCCTCTACAGCACGTAACAGTTCTCATGCTAAGTGATCTCAGATGTATTGATCCCAGTATATATATATATCAGAAATTATTTAACATAAACTATCATCTATTTTTCTTCTAATTCATCACTGTCACTGAAATACATTATGAGGGCATTTGTTTTTGTACAGTTCTATTTTAACTATATTAATTAATGCAATTTCACATACACTAGAATGTCAGTTCTTTCCATATCTGAATTTATAGAAATATCAGCTCTTACTTACCTTAACTGGGAAGCTACATTTTCCAGTACGGACTCCTTCTTCATCTGTCTGCCACTGATGTGGACGGCTCGCCTCTGGAACATAAACATCTTTCTTTCTCCTAAAACTTTGCCGTAGTTTGTTCATGTTAATTTTTACAATCTGAAAATATAAAAATAAGAAAAAGAAATTATTACCTTATAACATACACAAACATCAAATTAACTATCAATTAAAAAGTAAATGTCTGAAATGAAAGGTTTTGGCATAAGGAACAATTACTAATTAGTATACTTTTTATTAGTGTTAACACTGAGCAAAAAGTAAGGGAGCTCTGGTGGCTTCAAGATAAGGAGTTGAGCTACCAATTCGAAGGCAAGCAGTTCAAATCCACCAGGAGAAAGAGTAATTTCCTCCTATACAATTAACTGCTTCTGAAAACCCAGTGGAGGGTCAGCTATGAGTCGGGTCCAACTCAATGCTACTTAACAAAAAGAAGAAAAAGTAAAAGTAAAAAAATACATGTAAAAAACACAATTTTACTTTTTAAGAAGATAACGACAACACTCAATTGCACTCATTGCCATTGGGTAGGGACCATCCCACAGGTGAGCCTTCAGTGGGTTTTCAGCAGCTGTAAGCTGCACAGGAGGAGATTGCTCCTTTTTTCTCACACAGAGCTGCTGGTCAATTTGAACCACCAGAAAGGCATCAGCTTTGGGATAGCAGGTCAACTCCTTATAAAACATGTTTCCAGAGCTCTCAGACAACACTATTCTTTGAAAAGACTATAACTTCTAATAAGACTGAAATAAATTTTATTTCAGGCATACACAAACATTTAAATAGCTATAATTACTTGTAATAATACAAAAAGAACCCTACTAATCTACGTTTCAAATACATTCTAACTCCTCAACAGGGAAATTTATACACGCAGGTCAAATTATAAACTGCTAACCGTTTCTAAAATTATTCAGGAAACTTTCGTACTTGTGATAATTAGGTGCCATAAAGTCAACTACAAGTCTCAGTCACTCTGAAAAACATTTCAAAATCTTGCCCTTCCTTGTGCTAGCCTCATGATCTCCACCATGGGAGACCACTGATGTTGTAGTAATCCACCCTGTTGGTCTTTCTTCAATGAAAGATTGCCACATAGTATTTAGAAACACCAGAATTTGGAGATTTTTAGTTTACTATTAGAATGTTCCTAAGAAGCAAGGGTGGTGAGCCTTCATTTCATATACTTTAGACATGTCACTGGTAGAGGACAGTCCTTGGAGGAGGACACCATACTTAGAAAAACAGAAAGTCAACAAAAGAGAGGAAGACTGCAAGCTGACACAGTAACATTCACAATGGGATTAAGCACAGCAGATCATGAGGACGGTATAGGAATGGGCAGTTTCCTGCTGTAGCACACAGGGTTGCTAAGAGGAGGAGCTAAATCGACAGCACCTAAGGACAACAATGGTAATATTAGAACACACTTAGCAAAGCAGCAACTACAATCATCATTTCACAGAATGTATTTTACAAAGAAGAATAAAGTTCCCCTTAAATATATTTAAATTTATACATTTTAATAAGATTAAAATACTTCAAAGAAGAATTTTTTTGCTAGAAGTACAATACGAGACTGTACTTTCACATGTACAATATAGTAATCAAATAGTTTGAAATGACAGGAGTCCAAATTCCATCTTGAACTCTGTAAATTAAAAAAAAATTAAACTATTGTCAGTTGTTTTCATATTGGAAGAGGAATTTTTCTAATGCTTTCTTAGTGTCATAAAATTACAGGGAAGACCTAACAGATAACAAAAAAACAGGTCACTCAAGAACCAATGAATAAATATAACAGAATAAAATCTCAAAATCTGAAATCAATCTCTCTAGCTTTCTGGGAAGGAGCCTGGCTCAATCTTTCTCTGAAGGATTTAAGCACCTCAATGAGTCTAAAAAAAATCTTAACTGGGGAAAATGATGTGACAAAGCTATAATTGGAAACTTTCTGTTAGGAGTGTTAAGCAGCAAGGGATTAAGCGTTAATTTGCACATGACACTAGTTAGAGATTTAAAAATCAAAGTTTGCACTCTGAGGAAAAACACTTCTTGTGTTTTATAATTCATAATGCCACAGAAGAACTATTGCCAAATTAACTAATTTTACACAGATAAGCCAATCTTACCACATCTTTCTAAAACGTAAAATTTATGACAGAAATGGCACTTGTAAAATATCTCGAGATTCTTTCAAATGAATTTAATAATTCTCAATTCAAGATCATATGCAGCAGATGTTAAAAGACTGGATGAAAGCTGGTCCATTCCATGGGTAGATTGCTCATGCCCATTGTTGTTGTTAAAGTCTAATTGAGTTGACTACAACATTCATAGTTATCCTATAAACAACAGAAACAAGTTGTGGCTAACACTAAGAAGGGGAAGCCCAGAACATTTAATTGTTGCTCATATGAAAACTAGACCTACACCAAGAAGCTGTTGTGCATATAGAGCAAGGGAGCACTACATGTTCCCTTCATTTCTTAAAATGAAGAAAGGTATATGTCAGGGTTGTATCCTTTCTCCACACCTATTCAATCTGTATGCTGAACAAATTATTTGAGAAGCTGGACTCTATGAAGAAGAATGTGGCATTGAATGAAGACTCATCAATAACCTTTGCCATGCAGATGACAGAACCTTCCTTGTTCAAAGTGAGGAGAACTTAAAGCACCTGCTGTCAAAAAAAATTTCTCACCAGTGGACCAATAGGTAACACCATGACAGATGGAAAAAAAACTGGAATTGTCAATGACTTCATCTTACTTGACTCCACAATCAGTACACTTGGTACCAGCAGCCAGATCAGAAGATGTATTGCTCTGGGAAAGTCTGCAGTCAGGGACCTCTCCATATTATTGAGGAGCAAAAATGTCCGTTTGAGGATGTGCCTGACTCAGACCATTGTCTTTTCAATCATTTGCTATACATCTGAGAGTTGGTCAATGAATAAGGATGACGGAAGAATTGATGCCTTTGAATTGTGGTGTTAGAGAAGAATATTTAATATGTTTGGACTGCCAAAGAAAAATAGTTATGTCCTTCCTAGAGAAGGTGCAGTCAGAGTGTTTCTTGAAGGCAACAATGATGAAGGTATTCCTTAGAGAAGGACATCGTGCTTGGAAAGGTGCGAGTATGGAAAAAGAGAGGAAGACCCTCAACAGGTGGACTGACACAGTGAATATAGCAAAGGGCTTGAGTGTGTCAGAGTCTGTGAGGATGGCAAAGGATAGGGCAGCATTCAGATTTGTTGTTAAAAGGGTTGGTATGAGTAATGCTCGACTCAACAGCACCTAGCAGTAACAATAATCCTCAAATACAAGGTTGTCAATGCTATCCGAAAGAGGACAGACCCTAAAAGAAAAACACCAAACCATATTATAATCAAATTTTCCAATGTCAAAGAATTAATGACAGAAACTCATGAACAATGAAGGGTTATTAGAAAGCAGAACCAGTAAGACTAAGTTTCAATTTCACCAAAAAAACATTCTGGCAAGAAGGAATAGATGACATATACAAAACAAAGATATCGCAATCCTATATATATGTACCCCGACGAACAGAAAGGGCAACCTAGGTAGAAATGTCAAGCATGGAAATACAAAGGAAGAGAACAGTTGTAAGCAGACACTAGTAATTGGAACATGGAATGTGAGAACCATGAATGTAGGAAAATTAGAAATTGTTAAGAAAGAAATGGAACGCATAAATATTGACATACTAGGCATTGGAGAGATGAGATAAACTGGCATGGGGCATTTCGAGTCAGATGATCATATGTTATTCTAGAGATGAAAAGGTGAGGAAAAATGGAGTTGTTTTCATAGTCAAAAAAGAAATTTCTAGGTCCAACTTGAAGTACAACACTGTGAGTGATAGGATTATATCCATACGCTTACAAGGAAGTCCAGTGAACACTACTATCATCCAGATATATGCACCAACAACCAGAG